GTCACCTTGGACCTTCAGGAGCTGAGGTCGTGATTCCACCTGACAAAACCACAGACACCACTGAGGAAAGTAATAGACGAGAGATACTGTCTAGAGATCAGCAGGCCAGAGGGCAGGTACAAGGACTACCCTTGGTTCTCAAAGCCTCAAATTTCCCTCTGGTTCAGGCCATGTGGCTCTCTCTTCTGACACCCAGATGTCATCTTGGACTGGATCAGGAGCAAAGGGAGACGGCTGAAACCAGAAAAACTAGGATTTATTTAAAAGAGTTATCTGAAGAGACGGAATCACTGAATCAGGCAGACTTTATTGAATTGCACTAAATTATTGACTTGATATTCAACCTAATATAGAGTTCCTAATATTCAATAGGATTCGGGCTTGAGGGATAAGCTCTTTTGAAAAATAAGGAAGCTGCATCTTGCCTTGCACATCTGAGTGCAGTGTGAGAAAACATGGGATCCTGCAACTCAAGGGAAAGAGTGTTTCTATTTTAGCTGACATTATTGCTTTCGTTACCCCAGGCTCCTATCCACTCAAGGCTTCCTCTGACTTTCTCGCACACTGAGCCTTGAAACCGTGCCATGCACTCATCTGGCTGCTAAGTCACTTTTCTCCCATTAGTAAATCTAAACTTCCCCAAGAACTCTTCCTAAACCATCGAAGACCTAACACATTCCCAACTCCACCTTGTCCAGCTTACAAGTTCCTGTGCTGCTGATCTCCATCTTTTCATTTACCTTTTTATTCCTAATACTCAAAGCACTCAACTGTCTAATTTCTGCTTATATTCTGTATCTCTTACATATGATTATTTACAAGCCTAAATTGCAAGTTTGCAGAAGACAGGTATTGTTTTTTATTTGTTGCCTTATGTAGCTCTTCAAGACAATAAGTGTTTTAAAATGGTCTTGGTTGAGAGTCAAATTATGTTTATTAGGGGACAATGTTTCCATAAAATGGAGCATTTTCCATACATTATCCATGACTTTCTGCAACAGGATGCTACTTGAAATATGGTTCAGTAAAATCTTGCAGCTTCTGCACCCTTAACAGGTGACTGCTGTGCCAGTGCCTAGTGTAATTATAATGGGCAGTGTACTCAATGTACCTACAACTTCTCTGCTCTTTTCAGCAAATACAAGTGACGTTATTGTATTGAGGTTTAATTGGTTATTTTAAAAATATATAGATCTGAGACAATAACTTGTATTCCTCCCTCAGATTGCTCAGATTGGACCATGTTTGGTAATAATTGCTAAATTATCTGGCAACTTTAGGAACATATATTCCTGATACACAGAGTTATCCTAAAATCAAGTGAGAAAGGGAGATGGAGGACATTAAGATTTGCTTTGCTAACACTCTCCGTGGGGCCACGTCCACAACCCAAATCCATTTATTTATTTATTTATTTATTTATTTGCTGCATTTAAAAAATAATAATAATAAATCGACAGAAAAACAGACCAAGAGCTCCTACTACCAGATGCCATAGGTATAGGAGTAAAAGTTCCGCCAGTGTCAGATGAGATGTGACTTTCTGGGGGGAAGCGGGTAATTTTTACTTGATGGTGAATTGCTAAAAGTGAACCAGATGATTAAACTTAATGGAACAGCCGCATTAAACTGAAATTAGTAAGAACATGCCTCCGGCAGCCTACAACCTTTTATTTGTTGTTGTTTAACTTCTGCCTTTACAGTGGCCGTGATGAATGACATCACAAAAGAAAAAATCCAATTAAAATCTAAGTGCTCAATAAACCCCTAATGTCTGCGTGTCATCACCCCTTTCACCAGCACTGATGTCTTATGTTTCCTCTTTTCCCCAAGAAGAGAGCAAAGAGCCGGCCTGGGGGAGTTCAAGGGAGGGGAGGAGAGTGGGGAAAATTACAGAAAGCTTCTGAGGTTCCTGGTGCCACGCCCTCCACCACACACACCCTGCACGCGGAACTGTGGTATTACATACACCACCTGAGTGAAAAGGTGCATTTTCTCACTGCTTTTCAAATATTGATAAATCAGAATCGAAATCGGCAGAGCAATCCCTGTGCACCCTCTTAGCTGGTGTCTCGGCTGCCCTTCCATCTCGTCTCGGGTGCTTGTTCTATAAGTCATCGGAATGGTCTCTCCTGACAGCTAAAAATAAGTTTCTGATTACTTTTACCTGAATAAATCTCGCAACCAGATGTGGTATTCACCCACTAAGTGTGCAACAATTACAACTGAGAGTGATGAAAGAACGGGCCCGGGGCGCCCATGATCTAGGGGAACGCAGGCTATAATAAATCACACGGGAAAGCGGCCGTTGCCACCTGGTAGAATACTGGCTTCTGAGAACACATTTCACCTTAGAGATACTGTGTGTTTGCAAAATTGGGTTCTCAAAGTCCTCACAACAAGGTTCTCAAAGTCAAAATAACAGCAAAACCATGCTTGTTATGAACTAAGAGGTAAAAATAGTAATGATCTCTTAAATTTGGAAGGAGCTTTGTAATTTATAAAACACATACGTGCTTTTATCGCATTTATGTAGTGACTGTAGTATTTATGTACAGGCTCTAATTGGATCCTCAAGACAGCCTTGTCCTGTAGCTCTTATCTTCCTCATTTTACTGATAAGGAACCTGGCACCGGGAGGTTAATTGCCTGAGCTGACATCCTCTATTTGGGGAGGAAATAGAATGACCACAACCTATAGTTAGGGCTGGGGCTGCAGGGCCCCTGCGCTGTGCCAGGATGCTAACCATGACTGCCCTGCAGCCAGGACCCAATGGGCAGTGATGTTGGCTTCGTTTCTCATGAGTTAATGAAATAGCTTTTTAAGAGCTCTCTTCAGTCATTAGAATTTGATGGTGGAGAGTTAAACTTTCCCCAGTGGCTCTTTCTGTGTAATCACGGTTTCAACGTTTTCTTAGCATATCACGTTACACAAATCACAGAGTACTCCTGTTTTACATTTCTTACTGCGTTTGTCTCACTTCTAAGCAATTTCCGCCCCGTTTGCATTTATCTTCCATTATGTCTGTCAAATTGCTTTCAAGGCTACTAATTGTATGAATAATATTCTCTTCCCCAAACCCTGCTATTAACCGGCATTAGTTGTATGGCATTGGACACAGTTTCCCATCTCTAAAAACCAGGGGGTTGCACCCAATAATCCATAAGGCCTCTTTGTGCACTCAAATTCTATACTTCTGACACATTCACAGGAGCTGTGTGATTTGGGAAAGACTACATAAAACGGAACTTCAGTTTTCTTGACTCTGAGATGATGGATTCAATTAGCTCCTGTTTACCAAACTGTGCTTCTTGGAAAACTGTTATGGGGAATATCAATGTGGATTACACTCAAAAAGGATTCTTTACATAAGAGAGCTCAGGAAAGCTAGGTTAAATAAAGTCAAGTACAAGTTTGAACTATAGGCATTCACAGTCTTTCATATGTGAACGGGTGATGGACGACTCCAAGAAAGGGGCAGAATATGAGGGATTTCCCAAACATATTCAACCACAAAACCCTTTTGCATCAGCATTTTGTATAAATGATTTTCCGTGTGATACACTTTTAGAAAGGTGGGGTTACATTATTTTTAGAATCCCTCTATTGCCCTGAACTTCTAAGTTTAAATTTGTTTCTAGACACTACTCTGAGCATTCCATCCAGTACTAACCAGGAGGCCACAGAGTTACTTTACCTGTTGCTATTGTTGCCATAACTGTTGTAACATGGCCTATATTCTGTTTAGATCCAGTTGAAATAAGGTGGAGATTAGCAGCCTTCCTGCTGAAACTGATTTGTCTGTATGCAGCTGATATTTATAACTGGGGTTTGAAACCAGTTCTCAATAAAGAGCACATTTTGAAATTTGTAAATAGGGTTAGATTAGTAGGCCTATGAGGTACTAAAGGCCTATGAGGTACTGAAGGCCTATGAGATACTGAAGGCCTATGAGATACTGAAGGCCTATGAGGTACTGAAGGCCTATGAGGTACTGAAGGCCTATGAGGTACTGAAGGCCTATGACATGCTGCCTGAACTTGCTGAAGTGGGAAAAGGGGAACACGGGAAGTAACAGGAAGTCAACTCTTTGGAAATAACCTTCAGAACAGGGAACATAGGCTACTTTCCAAGTTACAATCATCCTCTCCCACTTCAAAGGTATCTTCACATTCATTAAACTCAACCCTTTACCCAGACCCATTGCCCTGACTGTTAATCACATTAGAGCCCCTGCTTGATTACCTTCAGGAGCAGGACCCCCTTACTTCCTAAGGCACATGATGCAATTCTAGGCTGGCTCTACTTTTTAGAAGGTCCTTTCCCACAGTAAACTAAAATCCAAGTGGTAAATGTTCTTATTCCGAGTGGCCTTGTAAACTATCTAGTCAGGGGATTTTTAAGGCAATGTCCATAGCGGCACTAAAGATGTTTTTCCAGTGCTTCGAGTTGAATTGCATTCATCGATTCATAAATAAATACACTAAGTTTCATATCTATTGAAAAAAATCGATTATAATCTCCATCATATTAGACTCAAAGAGGTTTACTAGCTCCCCTAAATTCAGTAAAGCAAGAGGCAGGATGTACCCTGGTCTCTCTGATTCAAAAACCGAAATCCTTTTCCCAGTAATATATTCCTTCTCTAACGGGTCTGTGTAGCTAGCAGTGAGGAGGAGAGTGTATTAGTAGAATCTAAAAGCTGCAGCAAAAACAGTTTCATTCCAGCCAGTCTATGTCCTTGGGCATCTTGGGATTACTTTTTTAGTTTCCCTTTCTTCAAAATGAGGATTACTAAATTTCCCCCAAGCTCTGTCTCAGTTCTGGAAATTTCTATGATTATAAGGCAACATGTTCATTAATGAATGGTACTTACTCTGGGGGATTTAAGTGCTGCATCCCTTGGAGAGGGTTCAGTGAAAGCAGACATTGTACAGACAGACCGTTCAGGATCACGTGGTTGACGTTTGCTTTCTCTAATTTCTTTTCCCTACACTAGTTACATTCAGACCAGGATAAAGGTGATGGGTCACTGAAGTACATCCTTTCAGGAGATGGAGCGGGAGATCTCTTCATTATCAATGAAAACACAGGGGATATACAGGCCACCAGACGGCTGGACAGGGAAGAAAAGCCCGTTTACATCCTTAGGGCTCAAGCTGTCAACAGAAAGACGGGGAAACCCGTGGAGCCTGAGTCTGAATTCGTCATCAAGATCCACGACATCAACGACAATGAGCCGATATTCACCAAGGAGGTCTACACGGCCACCGTTCCCGAAATGTCTGACGTCGGTGAGTGAGCTGTGACCCAGCAGCGCGGGGACCCTCCTCTGGCTGGTCAGCTAAGCGTAGAACCTGGGAGTGAAGTGTACTGAGCGGGGTAAATAGAGATGCCGCCTTCTAAACGTGTCGGGGTCCAAACAATCGATATCCTTTTGTAAGTAACCCTGTGTTTCCTAATCCTATGCTAGTCTCACTTTATTATTATTCTAAAGAAAGCTGCACTGACTCACGACCTTCGAGGGTACGGAAAGTGGCAGAAGGAGAGTAGGGAAAGGAGAGGCCGCCTCGCCGACCCTCCTCCCCGCCCGGGTTCCCGTGGTTTCCTGCGCTGGAAAGCGACGCCCTCTCCACCCCTCTCCACAGCGGCCTAGGCCCCAGGGAGACTCTCCCTGTGGGAGACAAAAGCCTGGCTCTGCAGTCCAGGCTAAAGAGTAACGACTGTTGCTTTAAGTAACTGTATATTTGGAGAAGAGACTCAAAGAAACTACTTTCAATTCATAAAAAATATGCAGAGGATGTCTAGGGGATATATCCGGTACTGGTTGATGGAAATTAAGAGACTTTCATGACATTAATATTTTGTGCACAATTCTCCCAATTTTAAAGTTCACATGTGCGCTTTTAACTTGCTTAGACTGGGAGAAGGGAAACAGAATTTCAACTAAGGAAAAGAGTCCTGCTGACACCACTCTTGGCCACATCAATGTACTTCATGGGAGACAATGATAAATATTGAACTATTTGTGTAAGGGTTATTTTAATTTTCACTCAGTGTCAAATTCAAAAGGGCCGAATTACATAATAAAAATGTTTCTGTAATTCCGAGTCATCTATCAGAGCCGTTTCAGTTCACAGTCCCAAGACTTTGAAAATATTTAATCCATGGAAATGACTGTAAAACATCGACATTTTTCTCACAAAGAAGTTGCTCATCTCATTACTTGAAGCCACTTTGTTTTGTTTGAAAAAAATCACGCAAAGAGGAGGATTAGAATTTTTGTAAGAGGAAGATGTGTTAGGAATGATATTTTTCCACTAGGTGGTAAAAAGCAGGAGGAATTAATAAAGGACAGTCTTGTCGTCAGCACCACCCAGGACAAATGTAACCAGATGTGCAAGTGGTCACTGCACAATTCTTAGGGGTGCCATTGACTTTCTTTTCACAGAGAGATCATTTTTAATTGAATTTATTGGGGTGACATTGGGTAATAAAATTACATAGGTTTCAGGAGGACAATTCTATTACACATCTATTGTATATTGTCCTGTGTGCTCACCACCCAAGTCAAGCCTCCTTCCATCGCCATCTAACCTCCCTTTTCCCTCTTCTGCCTCCCCCACCCCCCCTTTCCCCTGGTCCTCACCACATTGTTGCCTGTCTACGAAGTTTTAGGGTTTTTTTACTTAACCCCTTCACCTCGTTCACCCAGCCCCCCATCCCCGCCCCTCTGACAGCTGTCAGTCTGTTCTCTATCTATGAGTCTGTTTCTGTTTTGTTTGAAGCGGTTATAGAATTAAACATGTAATACAAATATTTGGGGGTAGCCGACAGAAACATATTTTGAGAAAGGGAGGGCTTTTTCTAATTTGCACAGGCATGGCTAGCTTGACATTCATCATTATCAAAAATTAACATGTCATTACTCTGATATCTAAAGGCATCTGAAAGAAACTGCATAAAGAAACAACGGCAGGGTGGTAAAAATAAACTTTGGTGTCAAACAGACCTGAGTTGGAAGTTTTCTCTACCATTAGGCAGCAGTGTGGCGTTGGGTGAATGGCTTGATTTCTCTGATCCTCCAGTTCTGTATCTTTAAAAAATAATAACAAATGTCACCTTCTAAGGTTGATCACGAAGACAAAAAGAGAAAAGAAGTGCACAGTCCCCAGGACAATATCTGACAACTAACAGATGTTCAAAACGTCCAGACAGTCACGTTCTAAAAGCTATTATATTTTATATTGAGGTCAAATAAGAACATGTTTGCTGACTTCCACTATTAGCTCTCACTCTAAGGTAGTGATGTTCTCCCCAAGTCCCTCACTAAATTAAAATGATGTGCGCTTTATCCACCAACATGCTGCATCCAGAGCACCCAGCCTTAAATAGTACAATGCATGTGTTCAATACACGTATTGGTTAAATATTACACAAGCGATGTGAAAATTGTAGTATCCCCTAAATGTAACTTCCCTGCCCTGTTCAGAGACAGGAGAACCTCGGTAGTATCCTTACTATTTATCTACTGTGGATAACAAAAGTCAGCCACAAAATGACCTTAATCAGGTCTTAGCTATTTTGGAAGTCACACACCCCTTTGAGAATCAGATAAAAATCTATGGAACTTTAGTGAAACATACATGCAAGCATTTATCTATAAATTTGTATGGAATTTTATGGAGGTTAAGGATACTTCGAAGATTATTAAGTTACTGGTTCCCTAAAATAAGAGGGCTGATCTAAAACATCATCGCTTTCTTTGTACATTTAATTACTATCATTTTTTGGTATTACAGGTTTCAGATGTGTATCTGCTGTTTCAATTAATTCTTTATTTAATCCAAAACTACCTCTTTTAAGGTTCAAGACCTTTCAATCTCTTAGAATTATCAGGTAGATTTGTCACTTAGGATGCTTTTAACTAACAGAAAACCCAATTCAAACTAGTTTAAACGATAGAAGAACTTACTGGTCACATTACCTAAGTCCAGAAATGAAGTGGGCTTTAGACGTGGTTAGATTGGGGTTCTAGCTATTTCTCCTTAATTTTCTGTCCAATCAGCTTTGTCCTCAGGCTGCCACCTCTAAGGTCACTAAATAGCTTCTGCATTTGCAGGCTCCTCTTCAGCATATTACAGTCCAGGAGAAAGAGCACCTATGACACAGAATTTCCTGCAAAATCATGAGCGGCCCCCTGATTGCACATTCCCCAAACTAATCCCTGTGGACAAAGTAATGCAAGATTCAGATCACCTAGGGCCTGGATAACTTAAAAGCAGTGCCACAGCCAGAATCCAATCAACCCCCACCCTTGGAGATGGACTGCAATCAGTTCCACCCAAAGTCACGAGCATTCCCATGCTTCCCTTTAACCTAATCCTTACAGTCTATAAATGCTGCTCACATTCCTTCGGAGTGAGGGGTCCGAGGCTTTTTGACCTAGCTTACCATTCAAGTTCCCCACTCCCTTGTCATGACAGTGTCGTACAAAAGTAAGACCATGCTTTCTCCTTATGTGTGTGTATCTAGGATCTGTAATGGGTCCTTAACATATTTTCAATTCACGTTCTGTCATTACAGGCACAGTGGTTGTCCAAGTCACTGCAACCGATGCCGATGATCCGACGTACGGGAACAGCGCTAAAGTTGTCTACAGCATCCTGCAGGGGCAGCCCTATTTTTCAGTTGAGTCAGAAACAGGTTAGAATTCTTTTCTGATCTTCTTTGTATAATCTGTAATTTTAATTGACATGCTCAGCTCAGCCAGCATAGTTTTTAATAAAAACAATCAGTGTGATTGAATTTTTTTTTTAGGTTTGTCTGCCAAATACCAGAGATATTTTTATAAACATACCATCCAGATCATTTTAATCAAGAAATCAGACAATGGATCTTTCATCCACTATTTTTATATATGGTATATTCAGAAGAAATTACACATTGCTTTATTTTTTTTCTTCTAGTTTGGGATGAAGTGAAAGACCAATCCCTCCTAATAGCCATTTTGGCTGTTTACAAATATTCCAGTTCTTCTTGTTCTAGCTATTTGGTAGGTTTGCATTTCCCTACCATGTGCTGAAGCTAGATGTAGCCATATGACTTACTTGGGCCAATAAAATGTGACAGTGATGTGAGTTGCTTCCAAGAGAACCTTTAGACCTTGTGTACAGCCCACCACGTTCCCTTCCACTTGCCACAGTGGTCCTAGGTGGAGCCCCTGCCGAGCTGCATCTCCAGCCCAGACACCTGAGTGTTAAGATGAGTCTAGTTGCCCAGCTGCTGGCGGGCTCAGAGCACGAGCAAACAATAAACTCTGGTTGCGCTAAGCCACTGAGATTTTGCATTGCTTGTGGTCACCTCATTGTCCACCCCATCCAGACAGAGACGGCCCTAAAAAAGTGGACTGTCTTAATGGAATCCTTTTTTCAACATCTCATTTTTCTGCACTTTCTCCACAAAATAGCATTCTACCTTATGACCAATTATTTTAGTAAATATCATTTGTACTGTCTAGTAAATTCTACACTTATTTCTGTTATCATAATAGGAGTCGAGTTCCTTGAAAACATTTTTTCAAGCATCCATTATTCTTAGTAGAAATCAAAACCCTCCTAGGTTACCAAGTCAACTTGGAAATCGATGTGTTAGGAGGGGCAATAAACTTGGAAAGAAGCCCAAGGAGAAAGAAAATGTTGAGTTCAAAAACAATGATGAAAAAATTAGAATTATTCAACTTAAAAAACAAAAGGCTAAGGTGCTTAAAGAGAAATACTGTTATTTGGAGAAAAGAAAGCAGCGATGCTTTCAGCGAAGCCAGGACTACGGGAATAAAACTGACCTGTCGTCTGAGGGATTCTTGTAAAAACAAAAAATATATTTTCAGCTTCATAGTTGTTCAGCACTGGAATGTGCTACCAGAGAGGGTTCAAAGCCATTCACTTAAGCATAAAGCCTACCTAGAGATTAGGCAAACTTTCAGAAGTTCTCCCAAGTCATTCTTTTATAACTACCTAACAACAGAGGTAAACTTCGCCTAACTTGAGAATGTTGGTCACTGCTGGGGCCAGCTGAACTGATGTTTGCATCAGCTTTAGGAAAACTCGAATTCTCTTGGGTCACACAAGATGGTGATTATGAAAGAACTGATTCTGTGTGTTTTTAAAACGATAGTTTTGTGGTTTAGAAAATCCTCAGAGCATTCATTATGGCGGGTGTATTTGCTGAGCAATTAGCCAGTTCAGTAAAGTGAAACTCAAGAGTCAATTCACATATATGGTTTTCTTACCACTTTGCTCATAATGTACCTGAATGTATCGAGCAGCGTCCATAGCATAACACTGTGTCGCATGCCAGGTTTCACTTTGCTGTGTCATCTTATAGCACTTAATATTTACACACCTTACAGTCTCTACTGTTGCAGGATTTGTCTTACACTGACTGTCATTCTCTTTGTACTGTAGGTGGGTGTGTGTTTTTAATGTATCTCGCCCTCCTAAGTGGTCTTCATTTCCTTCAGCATAAAGGCTACCTATCATCATTTTAATGTCACCGATGATGTGGGCATACTGTTATGCCTACCGAGGGTGATCATCTCTGTGTGTTTGCATAAATAAATGACTCCATAAAGGATTTTTAACACATTCCTTTCCATGTCTAAATTTCATATCCATAGGAATCATCAAGACAGCTCTGCACAACATGGACCGAGAAAACAAGGAGCACTACCAAGTGGTGATTCAAGCCAAGGATATGGCCGGCCAGATGGGGGGACTATCTGGGACCACGACAGTGAACATCACGCTGACCGACGTCAACGACAACCCGCCCCGGTTTCCCCAGAGTAGGACCATTTCATTGATGACTTTCTTCAGTGCACTTTTGTAAAACTCTAAATTGGAGAATGATATTTCTTTTCGATTATTGTTATTAACTGTCAGAATGCATGAACTTGGTGAGAACCGGCACTTTCATACAGATTGAGTTGGCAGCGCCTGCACTGGGTAGTTTGCGTTCCTGAGTCAGTAATCTGGCCGAGCGATTTCTCATAGGCCTGTCACTGCAAAGGCAACCCCATTGTTTTATTTTTCCTCGTTAAAAAGACAACCACAGGCATAAATTTGCTTGCGCAGGATACACGCATACAAGCACGCTGCTATCTGTTAGGAAAAATCTGACTTTATTTTTTGTGAGTTTAATCAGCCATGTAATCTCTTTTAAGTCCTCAAGAAGCCTTGTAAGAAGACGATTTATCATTTTACTGTTTCTAAAAATACATGTGTGGAAATAACGATGTACTTAATCCATCTGTCCTCATAAATAGTTGTCTACATTATGGTTAATTGAGATCCCGAGAGTCATTTCCAAAATCATTACCTCTCATGGTTGCGTAGGAAGGAAGAAGAAACAGGGCTCACAAATGCCCATTTTCTATCAAGCAGAGCACTGGCCCCTCTCACCCTGAGCACCTCAAGTGGGCACTGGGTTTAATGTAATTTTTTCCCCAGGAACAAAATTCCTTTCTGACATTGGTCTCCTAAGAAAATTACCCAACTCCTGTCTTCCAGGAGAAAATAGCTCCCTATTACCAAACAGAAAACCCACTTACTCAATGGTGGCATTTTAAAAAGCCAGTCAGCTAACAGGGGTTTCTTTTATGCAGATACAGGAAGCAGTTCTATTTTCTTTACTTTATCCCACTAATCAGTTAGCTAAATGCAAAAACAGAATAGCTAAATAATTTCAGATTTAATGGGTAGGAGGAAAGTTTTAGGAACCCTAAAATATCCCCCCAAGGCCTGAAGTAAAAATATCAGGATTACCAATACTTAACCCCAAAACCTCCTTTTCCATATGGAAATGCCCTGGGGAAGGATTACAAAAGGATTGAGGGGCACCCTGGTGCCACAGGTGCCTTACCTCACACTGCTCTCTCCTTGGATAGCCTGGGATCATTAGTGGACAGTGGACAGAGGCCAGTTGCGGGGGGTGGAAAGAGAAAGGGGTAGGAGGCCCCGGAAATGGAAGTTGGCTACACTAGAGAAAAGCTTGGCCTGTTATCATCTTACTGAGGATGAGCCCATTACTTAGTGGATTAGTGTGGTTGGCAAAATGTATTGGATGAGAGAAGAATAAATTTGTTTTACTTTTTTTTTGGGGGGGGGGCTTAGTACATGCTGGCCTACCAGATCTAAACTGAAATTCACATATTGTCTCCTTAAACCAATTTTGCTACATAAGAACATAAGCAAAGTGCCTGTCCATGAAATATAGGTTTTTAATTAGGAATATAAATTCGAGAATGGGGGAAATCTATGCATAGAAAAAATAATATAATATAACTTAAAAGAAAAAATGAGTCCAAAGGAAAAAATGAAGAGCTTTATCTCTCAGTGTATTTATCTATATTCCTAATTGCGACTAGACCAGCTCCATGTTTGAGTGAATGTCTGCTAGGGATACATTCTCTAAATTGCTGTAATTTATTTTCACCTTCAGTTATTATTAGCAATGACAGCAAGGACTCTTTTTTTAAAATACCTAGTAATTGGCTTAAAGTCACAGTTCAGGTTAAATTCCTTTCTATTCTTTCCGCTGGATTACACTAACAGGAGGCTGTGAAACCTGCAGCCTCCTCTAACAGTTCAGGCTTTCCCACAATCACACGCAGACTTGGAGGCCTACTTACAGGACAAGAAAAGTGTCCTCCGCTTGCAAAGAGACAGGTATGAAATAAAAGAACTATTGCTAACCATCACGAAAGTAAAGACGTAAGGAGAACAGAGCAGCATCAGTTATTTCAAGGAAAGCACAAATGGGCCTGCATCTGTGGTGATGTCTGAAAGAGCTGCTAGAGAATGGGTTTGTTTCGATTTTGAGAGTCTACTTGGTCCGTGTTTGACTTGTATCTTTCTGGTGATGAACAGGTACATACCAGTTTAACACCCCTGAATCTTCTCCACCGGGTACACCAGTTGGCAAGATCAAAGCCAGTGATGCCGACGTGGGCGAAAATGCGGCCATTGTATACAGCATTACAGAGGGAGAGGGGCTGGACATGTTTGACGTCACCACTGACCAGCAAACCCAGGAGGGGATTATAACTGTCAAAAAGGTAATGCCATTGGTTAAATGCCATACAAACTAACGCCTTTACGTTTTTCTGCTCCCCAAGTAACTGGGGGCAATTGCATCTCACATGAGCATTCCTCTAGATTCTCGTTTTTACTGATTAACTTTTTAAAGCACCGAGTCTCATTACATTGAGACCCCTTTGGTTGTTTTTGAGGGGTTCTCAATAATCTTATGGATTCCTTAATTCCATATTTTCAATAAATTTTTATTAAGGACCTAAGTAAATAAATAATATGAATAAATGATATACATAAAAGTATATAAAATAAATAATAGAAGTGAGCCAATAAACTAAAAAACAGTGCCCGACACTGTTCTAGATACTGAAGGCTTAATGGTCCATTCAGCAGGATGGTCTCTGCTCTCACGGCATTTCTAATGTAGGGAGAAAAGAGACCAGGAAGCAAATAAATACACGAGCATGTGTAACTATGAATTCTGACACACGCTTTGAAGAAAACGAGTCATGCAAGCAATGATCATAATGACTTAGTTAGAAAGACAGGAGATATACAGACCACAAAAATAAATTAGGTAACACAAGTCTCCTATGAGCTCTTTATCTACTTTCTGGAATACAATAGTACATTTTTTATATTCTGAATTCCTATGTATGTACTTATTCACCATGTATTCTCCCAAATTGTCTAGTACCACAGAGCACTATACAAAAGTGTGGCAAAAAATTAAAAACCAATAAACTGTTTGCTTCAAAGCTAAACAGAGTATTAACTTTGGTTACTTTTTTAAACCAATTTCTCTTTTATCAATATTTCCTCTCTTCTTTAGCACACTGTTATATTTGCTGTTGTATACAAGAATAGGGAAATGTAAATGACAAGAAAATGTTTTCTTCTTAAGCTTTGGATTACAGGTCTTAATAACTGGAAACACAATAAAGCATGTTTAAGTGACACTTAGAACAATGTTTTACGCTATAATATAATTAGGAAGCCCATTAGTGTCCATTAACCTTTTTAATTTTTCTGGTGCCTTATCAGATTCAAACTGAAATTTTGCCTCGCCGGCTAAATCACATTCGCAAACGTCTTGATTAATTGTGTTTCTGGCGAGCCTTGTCATATTATTATCTGAAACCGAAAGTCAGCAGTAAGCATGTGGGCTCGCTGCCTCTAGAAGCAGAGATGCTTTTCCGAAAGACCTCTGACAACCATGATCATTACTTTCTTTGGCAAGCAATTAGCCCCATGCCCTTACCAAGAGAACACTTGGAATATTTTATCACCTCATGCAAAAAAAAAAAGACCAAAAACCCAACAACAAAAAAACAAACAAAAATCCCCACCATTTTTAATCTATTTTATCTGAATGGAACATAGGGGATCGTGATGCGAGCCTGGGGTTCTCAATTCTGGCTGCACCTTAAAACCACTGGGGAAGGTGTTTAAAATGATAGATTCCCATCCCCGCCCCAGACACTGCGGCTTAATGATGGGGGGGGCAGATATTGGCAAATTTTAAACACTCATTTTGGTGCTCAGTTAAAGCCAGGTGCCATACCCTCTGCCCCAGAACAATCCACCAGGCGTCTGCGGGTGCCTGGCGTGCTCCTGCTCCCAGGCCCCTTTCCTGACCGTCACCCCTGGCACCTGCACCCACCTTCCAGGCGGCAGCAGGAGCGGCTTCAGCCCGCCCCT